TTTTGATCCTGTGATTGCAGAGATACTGCAATGACCATACCTTGTATTTGATGGGCCACCTCTCCCCAATTACATCTACCCAGTCCAACAGAGAAGGAAGGCAGGACATGTTGTGTGTCCCAGCTATCAAGGAAGTACAGCTGGTGGGACCTAGGAAAAGGGCCTTCTCTATGGGGGCTCCCTCCCTTTGAATAATATTTTCCCCAGAGAAACATTAGCTCCCACCTTGTTAGTTTTCCGCAAAGCCTTGAAGACGTGGTTTTGTTAGATGGTCTGGGGATCCCATTCACAGATGAACAAGTTGTCTTTTGATTCTTTTGTTGCCATGGGGTAGGGGCTGGGGTGGGTTGTGGATTATTGTGGATTTTTAACTGTGGACTTTTAATGTTGTACACGAACCAGGGTCACTGTATGTGAGGCTATATAAATTTGTTTAATAAATAAATAAATAAATACACTTTGGGGACTAGCTGTCCCTTAATTCAGTGTCACCATAACTTCAAACGGTTGCTGAACAAATGATCTGAAGTCAAGGACTAACTGTACACTATCTAATTCACTTCCAGTTAGTTCCTCTGACCAGCAAAAGCGACTATAGCAAATCAGATGTTTGCCCAAGACAATAATTATGTTACCACTAAGTTGAGCCTCTTCCTTCCCAAATCAACCAGAATCTGATGAAAAGTAACTTACATTCCTGGTCTATATAGGAATGAAAAATCAGTAGGAATCATTACCAAGGAAATTAGCATGTTTAACTGGGACAGTGAAATTTTATCCAAGCAGGTTCAGTTATATAAAATATTAAACTAACTCCACTCAGTAAGTTATTTCATGGGAACACCAAAAGTCATTCAGTTGACCTGTTTTGCAGATCTAGTTCTCAAAGAAAAAGGGGTAAAGAAAAACAACCCAAATGCCTTAAAAAGGAAGCTACTCCAGTATAGAACTTGCTGGCTGCACAAAATATACTTCCTATATACTTATGTATTATAGTATTGGAGCCACATCTATTCTGCTTTTCTGGTCAATGGGGAGGAATTAGTAATTATCAGAAAGGATTGATAATACTCTTTCTTAAATTTATGTAGATAGAATTATGTAGATTCTAAAAAATAGAGTAAGAGCCAATTTGGTATACTGGTTAAGCACCAGGCTAGAAACCAGGATTATAGCCCTGATTTAGGCCCAAAGTCAGCTGGGTGACTCTTGGTCCATCTAATCTCTCTCAGCCGAGGTAATGGCAAACAACCTCTTGCTAAGAAAACTGCAGGAACTTCTCCGGGCAGGTGTCAGGAGTTGATCCACAGGCAGACAAAGAAGGGAGTAGATTTTTTTTTTTTAGTTTCTGGAAGATGAATCTTGCTAGCTAATATAATTACGTATTGCCAGAATCATTGTAAAGAGTTCTGAGTTGGAGGTTAACTTGTGGGTTGAAAATATTGCAAGAACAAATGCTGTACTGGGTCAATTGTTAAATAATCCCACCTGGTATAAAACAGCCCAGTTTCTCTCCCCTCCCCCACCATCCAAAGGTGTAAAAAAAATTGATTCTGTTAGTTTCTCACTTGTTTCACTCATAGTTTCTCATATCTGACACAAAATAAAATAATGGTTTTTCTCATGCTACTAAGAAATTTCCCTTTACAATTTACAAGTACTAGGGTGTTATATTAGAAGTCTTACAAGAATTTTCCAGAAGCAGAAAGCTTTCTAATGCAAGTAAATTTGCAAAATTAGATTCAGATGGCTGTTATTTTTAAATAAAAATTGTTGTTTACCTTCCTTGTACAAACTCCCTTTTTATAACCCTGTAATCCCTTAATTCAGGATAGAGTCTGGATGACTAGAAGCTGCCTTTGTTTTGATATTGCTACATAGAGCAACAACATAACATTTAAAGCTTTTGACTAAATAATAAAAGTAAGAACAAAATGTGAATTCAGCAACAAGATGGCCCTTTGTAGACATGGGGTATGTGTAGGGGGATATGTGATAACTATGTGTCATGACTTCATCATGCAAATGATGTAAATTAGATATCTTAGTTGTTGTCTTTATATCACATAATTCATATCACCAGTGCAATGGAATTGTGATGCACAAAATATCCACATGGCTTCTGCCAATAGACCATGTTAGCTGTGATGGCTTTCTTAGACTTTCCAAGCTGTTAATAATACAGGAAGTCCTCATTTAGTGTCCATAATTGGGATTGGCAGTTTTGTTGTTAAACAAAGAAGTCTCTAAGTGACAGCATCCCGAGCCACTGTCCGAATGCCTCTCTTGTAAGGATGTGCTGGCATTTTTTTTTTCTACAGCCCCTGGTTAGATCCATCTCATTTTCAAACTCCTTGCTGACTTATTCCTCCACACCAAAATAGATCCTGCTCTATTTCAGTTATTACTGAGCTGACTTAGAGAGTTCTGACCCCTTTAATGTAATTTCTTTCCAATACTCTGTGGATTGTAGAAAGAATAAGCAGCATGACTAAGCACTATGCTTCCCTTCTGTCTGTGTTTAAAAGACAAATCAGACAGAGTGTGGACTAGCATAAAGAAGACTTCATTGTCCAAGCTGCAGCTGAAAATTGGCTGAGGGCTGGCTTTACTACAATGTGATAAGATGCTGAAAAGGCCCATCAAAATCTCTCAGATGAGAAACTATTCCTGGAAAAGGAATATGACTATGACTAAGATGTACAGATGGCATAAAAGAATATGATCAATAACTATAGGAATTCAAATGTGCCAATGACATCTTGGTCATTCTAAAATAAAGTCAAATTGAAATCACTCTTCAAAACTTTAACAAAACATGCCTAGGGATGAAATTCACCAGCGATAGAGAAAAGAGAACATTCTTGACATCCTCATGACTTCATTGTATAACGGCAGGATGCAAAACCAAGTATCCCAGAAACCCACCCACATGAACCAAAACTAAAACTTCAACAGCCACACCTCGCCACACATAAAATAAGCTGTACAAAAATCCTTATCAACCAATGCAAAACATATTGTCGCTCAGTAGCACTGAGAAAAGCAGTATTCAGCTACTTCTATATAGTATAATGAATAAGAACAACTCCCCCCACCTTTCCCCAAAATTTCAATTAAAAAAATTGCATCAGGGAAAAAAAGGAAACAAACACTATAAAGCAGGGGTGTCAAACTGGCGGCCCGCTGGCCTGATGCGTCACGCGCAGGCCACACCCACCCCAGCTCTTCAAAGGCAAAAAACATCACAATAAGTCACGATACATCACGTGACATGATCAAGTTTGACATCCATGCTATAAAGCTATTTGCCAGCTAAAATATCATAAACTGAATAACCTTCATAATTTAACTACAGATCTTGATAAATGTAGTTAGAGATTTTTGTACATTTATACCAGGTTGGGAACATATTGTCCTAGAGAAAACCTATGTATGTAGTTGCTAAAAGCTGACCCTGGCTTGATGCCATATAATCAATACCAGGGCCAATAAAACTTTAGGTGGCTAGAGCCATTATTTAAAAAACAACAATGCTTTTTTGCCCAGCTGCTGTGTAGAAAGGTGGTTGATGTTATCAGAGAGAACAGGGACAGAATTTTGAGTCCTTTCCCTTTCATTGTTTTGGAGAAGGAAGGGGAAATTGCCTTACAGCTACTCCTCAACTTACGACCACAATTGAGACCAAAATTTCCGTTGCTAAGTAAGACAGCTGTTAAATGAGTTTTGGCCCACTTTATGACCTTTCTTGCCATAGTTGTTAAGCGAATCACTGAAGTTAAGTTAGTAACATGGTTGTTAAGTGAAATCTGCTTCCCCATTGACTTTGCTTGATCACATGACCCCAGGACACTGCAGCCGTCATAACTATGGGCCAGTTGCCAAGTATCCGGATTTTGATTATGTGAGCATCAGGATGCTGCAACCATTGTAAGTGTGAAAAATGGTCACAAGCCATTTTTTTCAGTGCCATTGCAGCTTTGAATGGTCACTAAAGGAATGATTGTTAGTAAAGGACTACATGTAATACTTTTCTTCCTCTAAAAGAAAGATATGCCACAATGATTCATCATTTGATATAAGATTTTAAGGATTTAACTACAGTTATGCACTCTGTGGGGCGTTAAAAAACTGGCTAGAATTTGAATAAAGTTCATTAATTGCCTATAAATTTATCAGATACAAAAATGTTAAGATAAGCAAAGGATTCACATCATGGAAGGATGAGTAAGCCATGACCTTCCTGTGCTTCTGAAAAAAGTCTGATGGAATTTGGTCACAAAATTGCCAGCTTTAAACCAATATAATTGGGGGGGGGGTGTTGATTTTAAAGAATGTTTTTTGTCTTTGAGGTTTTCTACGCTCCTCTCTCATGAAAACCTCAAGAAAAAAAGCTGAAAAAAATAATTTATATGGGCCACCCAGTATACTGCTTAGGCTACTGGCCTAGCTACTTTGTCTATGCAAAGACTTAAGCATACTCAGCTCTGCATTGGACTCCAATATCCAATACAACTTGCTCTAGTGGGCAAGTTAAAGACCTGGCATCTTCATCACATGCTGAGCTGAGTTTTAACCTTATTACTATTATTTTTTGTGAGTCATCGTATTTGAAGCCAGGTTGTTTAGTTCGCTTGTAATTGAAAGTATTGTGCAAACACAGAAGATGGTTTAATTCAATAAACCAATTCAGCACGTTGTGTGAATCTAGTCCTAGTTTATTGCAGATGAAGATCTATTTGCTTTTAATGTTGTTCTTGTTAGGAATAATAATGTTTTGATAAGTACGGAAATTGGTGGGGTTTGAAATCCATTAGTTACTTTTCAAGAATTAGGCTGGTACATTATAATCACATTATTATACTGCTGATGGGCAAAGGCTTTTCTCTGAATAGCACTTTCTTCCATAAAATATCCCAAGTAGGATTACATTTACAGAACCAATGAGCCATACCTGGCTGATCAAAACAACTATAACTGGAAGCCAAATTATTTCCTACCTCCAATCTGTCCGTCCGCATTAGCTTCTGTGCTGCAGCAGCAGCAGCAGCAGGAACTGGCACACCAGGATTCCCTGCAACCAGCATTGGTGCTGTTGGCAAGATCTCTGCTGGGACCAAGCCAGGAGAAACTGGCCCCAAATAGGGGTTAAAGGCTGTTGAAGCGTTGGTGGCTAGGCTTGGTGCAACTGAAAACATTGGCTGGAAAAAAGAGAAAGAGAGAGACAGCAGGAGAGTCAAATGTAAATAGTAGTCCAAAAAAGCTTTGTACATTAAATCATTTTGAAATAATGCAACATTTATGCATGCAGACAATAATATTAACTGACCCTCTCATAAATGGAAGAAGCTCCCTGTTCAAGGAAGGCATTTGAGCCAGCAACTGATCCCAGGAACTGTAAGGGAAGGAGATAAAGTTTGCACACAGTAGGTATACAAGAACTGGTGCAGAAAGGGGCAATCAGAAGGGTGCCTCCTTATTCTGGCAAAGGCATCCCAAGAGGAACTCATCCCAAGGCACAGAAAAACTTAGGATATACAGTATACTCTTGGCCTTCCTTTGGAATAATCTACAATGTGTATGATTCCTGCTGCTGCTAGAATTGTAATGTTTATCCTAAAACCGTCTTGCAATTGTCAGTTCAAATTCTCAAGTAGTTTTCTGCTGTGAAAAGCTGGGAGTTTATTTTGTCTTTCTATCTTATTCTTAAAGTGCTTCAGCATTTTATTTGAATTTATTTTGGTGATGCTTTTCAGCTTTACTTTTGAAAATCTTAGAGGGTATTAATGTTGTTGCCACTAAGAGTTTTTTTTTGTCCCTCTCAAGTCTCCTTGGCAGCCCACACTTTCCAATCAGTAAATGCCCACTTAGAGGAGATGCTTTCTAATGTTTTGCCTTTATCTAATAGAAATGTGAGAAGCTAGGATGACAGTACAAGAAGAAACACAAAACATTTACAGAGCCTGGAATTTCTGTCGTTAAGTGTTGATGGTCATAAGTCAAGGCACCCATGTGATCAGCCTGATTTTCCAACCTTTTTTGGGGTGGTGGTTAAGGTAATACCATGACCATAAAGTGAACACTGCATCCGTTAAGCCAGTCAGTGCATTGTTATGGGTGTTTTTTTTGTTGGAAACTGTCCTTTTAAGCCAGTTTCCTGCAAGAAAACCCATAGTAAATCATGTCACGTGACCATGGAATGGTGCAACTGGGCATAAAGATAAGGCGGTTGCTATGTGTCCATATAATATGTTCATGTGACTTTGTATGTGTGTGAATGTGTGTGTGCGTGAGTGCCTCCCTATGCCACCAGAACTTTAGAATCAGGTCATAAGTGCCTTTGGGGGATCCATTATAAATTGGAATGGTTGCTAAGGAAGGACATACATACATCATTTGAACTCTTAGTATTTCAGAACAAGAACACAACATTTCACCTACGAGAATTTCTTGAATTTCTCGTTTCTTCTTAAGGTTTAGATATACTAATTAGTAGCCAACTGATGGAACTGGGCAGGGACCATTCATATTGCACCAATGTAATTCTTACAGCAATTATAAAAGAACAACATTTTTATTGTTTTCATAGAGCAATTAAATTGTAAAATACACATATGTTAAAATGGCATCTCTTGAAAGGTCTTTTCTTTTACAAAGCTATTTATAATATAATTTGTAGGTAACCTCATAGTAAAATTCAATTAAAAATTGACATTATTATCAGTGTTGCAAAGTAAAACCATAGGAAGTTGCTGTAGACTGTATACATTTAGGCCACTGCTACTGTTTAGATTAATCTTAAAGACAGAGAGAGCATAGCAAAGACAAACAACAGAAAATTTTCTTTCCTAGTCTCTTCTCTACACAGACAGGATAGATAATCTAATGTAAGAATTAAAAGTACTTTATTGTTTTGATTTATATCCCACCTTTACATCCAAGTGAAATTATCAAAGTGGGTTACAGGTTTCAAACACACACAACGTAAGGTGAAAATAGTTCAAATGTTCTGGATGATTTATAAAGTCAGAGGATAAGATTTAACTCACAAAGCAGTCTGCATTCCAAAGCTGGATAATAACAAAGAAAGTTTAACCTCTGCCCTCCTAAATTACAGGGACTGTATTTCATTACCAAAAAGTGATCCATCACAAATCTTAAAAAGCTCTGGCCAGCATGTTGGTTCTCTATTCGCCTTCCTATACCTACTCTAATTCAAGTGATCTAGTGTCTCAAAGATGCTTTTTCAAAAGGCAACTGAACTGTTTTTCCCAGGTGGAGGAAGATGACGTTTTGCTTCTCATCCAAGAAGCTTCATCAGTTTTGGTCCAGTTGCCTTTTGAAAAAGCACCTTTGAGACAACTATGACCTGGATGACTGAGCATCCCCACAGACATAAATGATCTGCTGTTCTCTCTTTCCACAAATCCCAGCTAGGTTCCTTAGGATTGTGGCATCTGAATTTAAATGCATCTGGGGACAACTAGGTTCAGCAAGGCTGCTCTACAGTTAAAAAAAACAGAGTGAAAAGATAGACAAACTACTAACTTTTATCCTTGAAATAACAAGATTTTAAACTATAGGTAGTCCTTGACTTATGACAATTGGGACCAGAATTTCCACTGTTAAATAAGGCAGTTGTTAAGTGAGTCACACCCAATTTTATGAACTTTTTTGCCATGGTTGTTAAGCAAATCTCTTGCAGTTGTTAAGTTAGTAACATGGTTGTTGAGCGAATCTGGCTTTCCCTATTGATTGATTTTGCTTGTTGGAAGCTGGGTGGGAAGGTTACAAATAGTGATCATATGGCCCTGGGATGCTGCAACCATCATAAATACATGTCAAATGCCAACAAATTTTGATCCTGTGACTATAGAGATGCTGCACTGGTTGTAAATGTGAGTACCAGTGGTAAGTAACTTTTTCCAGAGCCTTTTAATTTTGGCCGCTAAATGAATGGTTGTAACTTGAGCACTACCTATAACTTGTAGCTTAGCCCTCAGTGTCTTTCTATGGTTTGCAGACCAATTTTCTGGTCTGTTTTCCTCTGGTTAGTTTTGCATATTTCTTCATTAGTTTTTTTATCCTCTTTCCAGATTTTTTTAAAAAGTATACATGAAAATTATGTATGTGTACACATAGATACATATATGAGCACACAGACACATGTATATATTTGGTGCTGAAAGCTACAGTCTTGCCAAATCCAAATAAGAAGCAAATTTCAGTCTTTATACTGGTACTGGAATATCAGATGAGCTTTGAAATGTAAATTTAATATAATTCCAGAACAATCTTATTCCCATTCCCTTCTGAATATACTAGGATTGATCAAATGACTGCTACTATTCACAGCTCAATAAATAAACAATGATGTATCTTTTACCTTCAGAACTAATCAGAACTAATCACCGAAGAAACATATGGATGGACTGCACTTCCTATGGAAGGTCTCACAGCAAGGGAATTATTAAGAGCTAAATGTTATACTGAGCTTCTAGAAATGAAATCAAATAAAGCCAATGTTTTGTGATAACCTAATTGCCCAGCCAAAATGTTTTCTAAAAGTTAATAATTATTTATCTCATTAACATGTCCCGCATTCTTCACAGTGCCATCACCTTCCCACTCTTATTAGTGATACATTACTGCCTCAAATCCTTCTTGTATTATCATATATAAAATGCAGTAAATGAATGAAACCCAGTGCTCAAATATGCTGATGCCAACTGGGAAAAAGAATAATGAGACACAGGTAGCTAAGGCCTTACCAGAGAAGTTGTCATACAACCAGTTTGGTATAGTGCTTAAGGTCCTGGCATACAAATCAGGTGGCTGAGTTCTAGTCTTGACATAGGCATGAAAAACTGGTTGGATAACTTTAAGCCAATCACTCTCTTTCAGCCTATACAAGGTTATTGTTGTGGGGAAAATAAAAGGAGGAAGGAGTGCCAAGTATGTTCATCACTTTGAGTTACTTATAAAGTAATAAAGGCAAGATAAATATCTAATAAAAGTAAAGGTTTCCCCTGTCCAGTTGTGTCCAACTCAAGGGGCGATGCTCGTCTCCAATTCTTAGCAGAGGGAGCCAGTGTTTTCCAAAGACATTTCTGTAGTCATGGGGCCAGCATGACTATATGCCAAGGCACAGGGAATGCCGTTAACTTCCCATCAAAGTGGTACACCTATTTATCTACTTGCGTTTGTATGCTTTTGAACTACTAAGGTGGGCAGGAACTGGAGCAAGGACAGGCAATCATCCATTGTGCAGCGCTTAGGTCTTGAACCTGGGCTGTCAGCATCTTTAACCACTGAGCCATCATGTCACCCACAAAAATCTAATAAATAAATAAATAATGCAAGACAGTCAATAAAGAAGTCACAGTATTTTATATAATGAGAGAAAAAGAAGATCAGAGTAATTCTGTACCAGTTGATGTGGATTAGAAAATTTGGTCTGAGTTACTGGCTACCTTTTTTTAAAAAAGAGTTCAAAAATCGTTAACACTCTCAGAAGTCCCTAACATTCGCATGAATCAAAATGGAATTTTATACTGATTAGTATAACAGTTTTGTTAAAAATGTTTCTTCGCTGTAAATTCTTTTGTTTTTAGCTCTTTAACACACTCTCAAACTTTCGGGAAAGATTTTGTGGATACTTTTAAAAAGAGAAATCAATAAGATACTCCCAAATTCCATCTAGGCCAGAGGCCTACACTGCAACTGGCTTTGCTTTATGGAATGTGTCATTTGCCATGAGTAAAAGTTCATTTTAGCATTCTTTTAACTCCCTAACTCTCAGATTTCTGGACTGACTAAGTAGAAACTCTGCCCACTTTAAAACCTGAGTGTATATGGTTTTTTTCTGCTGCTCTCCACCTTTATCTTCCTTCACAAAACTTTCTTCTTGGATTTACTTGCTGCTGAACTATCCATAGTCTTCAACTTATAACTATAATTGTGATCAGAATTTCTGTCACTAAGCAATGAGATCTTAAGTGAGCCATCATGTGACCGATCAATTTTACAACCTTTTTTCATTGCAGTTGTTATGCAGATTTGGCTTCCCCATTGACTTTGTCCAACTTGGCTAGGAATATCACAAATGGTGATGCCACACCAGGATGTTGCAACTGTCGTAAATATGCCAAAGTGCGATCATGTGACGTCAGACATGCTGCAATGGTCATAAGTGTGGGGACTAGTGGCAAGTCACTTTTTACAGTGCCACTGAACTTTGAATGGTTGCTAAACAAATGGTCTTATATCAAAGACTACCTATAAGACCAAACTATTTCCTTCTCCCATCCTCTTGCCGACTTTCATTCTCGCCCAGGGAGGATGAAAACAGTGAAAAAGACAGAGGAGAGAAAAAAAGAGATGGAGTAAAGGAAG